TAAGAAGAAGGAAATAATAACAAGACATTGTAGTGTGTAACAGGAGATTTAAATATTATCATACTTGAAACGATCAGCTAAGTCGTTTTCCATCTAGAAATATCGCGAGAAACATACTTAAATCGACCTGCTCCTAAAACTCGAGTAACAAGTATAACGATAAATTTCATGTTCTTTTCACCACTTTTTACCGTCATTCTGCCACTTCGTTTCTTCAATAACTATATGAATATAGCGTGAGAACGAGAATATCTTAGCTTGTTGATTCGACTCCTAGCTTCAATTGATCCAAGGAACATACTTAAGTGTCACTATCACGCTGAAAATTGAATGTGATCTATCTCAGTTGGTATAGTGACAAAAATCATTGGTGGTCAACGGATATTTCTCCTTAGTCAGTGATATGGCTGCAGATGCGGTATTTCTTGAGTCAGAAGTTGAGTGCATGTCCTCTTTACTTGTTGGATATTGAAATTTAATGATACTGTTGTCTTATTTTATTAAATGAACAGGAAAAGATCTTAGTTTATAAAAGGATATTTGACTTTAACGCTCTTATGAGGAAGATAAGACTTATCTGGAAAAGAGAATTTTACTATTGATTTTAAAATCTAATTGCCTTAGCGACATTGGCTTGGCGGCTATACTGCGTTGAAAACATTAAAATGCAGGCTCTCAATTCAATTGTTCATATAAAAGAAGAAAACATTCAGATGTAAGTAGGAAAAAGGAAAGAGAGAAAAAAAATTAAAGTGTAAAAGGAAAAATTATATACAAGAGAAAGAGTCGCGTGACAAGATATATTATATTGTGTTGAACTGAAGAACAATAAAAATACCTAACCACATGACTTATATCCAAGAACTAATGAACAGCTACGAGCATATAAATGAACTAAAAACAGCATTGTGGAACTCAAATATATATAATTCCTAAACTGGCAGAAATACCAATAGAAGATGATAGTATTAGGAGCATTATGCGTTTGTCTTATCGTGAAATTCCCTTATTTCAGCCTATTAGCCTGAAATAAGGGAATTTCACAATGGGAAAAGTACAGAAGAGAAAACGTCAGCTAATCAAATTAATGTGTTGCACCGAATGAAGTGTAAAAACGAAGATCCATGCATTGCGTTTTTACTGTTTACTATATACAAAGTTGAGAGTATGTCATAAATCTTTTATTTGTTGCTTTTGCATCGTAGTTTTATTATTGCTTAACTAACGTTTCGTTTAATTAATATCTTGATCAGTAGTTCACAATATAAAACAACATGCTATAGAACAAACAAAGTTTAGAACAACAAACTAAAATCTAAAATTAATAACAAAGAGTTTAAAGTTATACCACAGAAAAAGACTTTCCTTATTTATTTAGGATGCAACTTTGCTTTGATTCTCAAATCATATCTCGGATTTACTGTTCTCAACACTGTATTCTTAATAAATTCAATGTACTATGATTATCTGGATAGAAATTTTGTATTGTTTGAAAGTGAACAAAATATTGCCTGCATGATCGGTTTTCTAATGTTAGATTTTAGAAGATGCACTATTCCAATATAGAATAAGAGAAAATCTTCTGATAGTGCGTAAAGCCCTAGTCATCTTTTTCTATACACTAAGAAGAAGAAACAATGACCATTCTTCTTGAAATAAGTCACACAGACGCCTCTTTTTCACTTAACTCTTCATAATGATAGAATGAGTCATTGTGAAGAGAGCCAGAAGAAGTTTGATGACTAAAGAATATAAAATCTTATACAGTGAGCGATTACCTTCTCGAAATAATTCAGACTGACGACTTTTTTTTACAATATGTATCTATATCAATCGTCCATTACTGCAAATGTTTTCAAAAAATATCTTTGTCTTCCTACTTAAATATTAATCCACATCACTTTTTCAGCTGCTATACAGTTGTGAAATAATTCTTTATCAACTAAAGTTCAAACATTACATCACCTCAATTAATTACATTACATTACAAACCTCAATTAATCAAGCATAGAATAAATACTTTTCTTCTTTTATAGTTTTCAACACTAATTATTATTATTTAAAATCTGGTGAAGTTCTTCACTCACTCTTTCAACTTTCGCAGCTTTTAGATTATATTTTATTTGAGCAAAATTATTTATCAGAGATTCATTTCTTTAAGTCAATTATAGTACAAGGTAAATAATTATCTAAAATACTGATAAAGATTATTTTAGATAGGATGTTGGAAGAAATACTTACGGAACTCGTGACGAAGGCAGGAGACGAATTGGAACACTACTGTTCAGAACTTTTAAAAACTGTGAACAAGGAAGATGTATCGAAAACAATAAATGCTGATGAGAAGAAGAGTATGATGAGTCTTATCAATAACACAATGAAATGGATAGATGGGAACCTTGGTAAGTTGTTTGTCATTCTATCGTAAAAGAATTACCTTGTTCTTTGTTCTAGATAGCTGTCAAAGCGCGTTTGAAGAGAAGAAAAGCGAACTGGAGAAAATTTATTCAAAAGTACTCGATAAAATGAGCAAAGGTAAAGACGAAATGCCTGGCGGTCCAGGAGAAGCAGCTGGAGATGCTGTTGAAAAATAAGATCCGACGATAGAGTTTAGTCAAATTTAATTTTAGGTGTGAAAGAGAAACCATCTCGTGCTCTTGGGTAGTGAACAAACATCATCAGCTGAAGAAAATACTGAACGAAGACAATCTTCGTAATAGTTTTACGTTTATAGTGAGTCACCTTCTTTTATATGACCTAGATTTAGTTGAGGACCCCTTGGCATGTATACTTGATGCAATGATGGCTTATATTCAAGAAACAAACAGATTCGATCGCTGGCAGCGCAATATTTAATCATTAATCTATTCGCGCACTGCTCGCTGTCTGGCCTGCTGCGTTTCTGTCTTTACTCATTGTTTCTACTATCTTACCTAGTTCTGTGCTTTATTCGTCATCATTATCTGGATCTCAGTGCACTTTCATCCAGGTGTTCGAAATATATTTCGATCTATGTGTATTCTCTGTACATATTTTATATCTTTGCGTTCGTACTATCTTTTCCAGGCATTCGT